ACATTAGGACTTGCTTGTCATTGTATTTTCATGTTTTTTTAAAGAAAAATTAACTTGTCCACATTGCTTGCCGAAAGGGCAGATCTGCTGGCACTAACAATGTCTCCTGCTGTGGAAAAAACCCTCTCTAGGGACAGAGGTAACAGATACAGCCAGGTAGCGCTTTGCTAACATGGCAACATAAGGATATTTGGTGTTTGTAATAGCTTTGGCTCGGTCTGATCTTTCTGCGAGTGGTGGAGGCTTAAATGCTAGCGGGAGTTGGGTTTGCACTTCAGTCTTTTTTCTTTTGGTACCGGTGATATTCACGTTCGGGTGATGCCTTTTCAAGAGTGTGCAAGTTTGATGTATTGCCAGCCGCGTAACCAATTTTAGTTGCAATGCCGACAAACAGCTTTGGTTCGGTCCACCTGTCTTTGTCCGTCATCCTTGTACGTAACTGCGAAACCAAAATGTTCCCAAACCGGAGACTTCAATGATGCTGGAGGATTTTCGAGCTCAACTTTATCTGCGTTCGCCATTCATTTTTGACAGTTCCTCAAATTACTGACTACATTTGAACGCATCCCTCTGACCAGCTCTCATAGTATGCCTCTCATCCAATGAAATGACTTGCTCGCTCGATGACGCGTTGAACCCAATGTGAGCAAATTACTCTGAATGCTGCGACGCAGCACCTGAGATTACTTCCAAAAAGTTATTCACGTTCTCAATTTTTTACGTTTAACGTTATATTCGTTCGGTACACACCTGTACCGAACCGAAGGGCCCGTACCGAATAATTTCGGTACGGGTACGTGTACCGTTACACCCCTAATAGACAGGTATTTTCTGTGTTAGAGTTGTACTCGCTACGGGGTGTACTTTGAGGGTTTGTGACTTTGCAGACCATTTACATGCATAAAAAGCTATATAACACACAAGGGGATGGTTAATAACCAGAAAAGCATGTCATGGGACCTTTAAAGAACCTGTGACAGCATCCCAACAACTGTTGTGCAATGAAATATTGGGCTACTAGTAATCTCAAACCGTCAGTTTAAAAAAGAAAAAGCGATACCGTTCCGTTAAATATCAATAATTTCGAACATCGCGGGGAAATTCCTTCGACTCATTTTGAAGTTTTGGGGGAAGCCGGAAGTGACGTCAATGCGGGAACGCTTCACTGTGCAGCGAGAGAGCCAAACACGGACAAAGTGTGTTGTCATGCGTAGAAATGGTGAATTACTGAGTTTAGGCACGTTAATAACGTTTTAATGAAGTTGACTACAGCAGTGGTTCCCAACCTTTTTTGTCTTGTGTACCCCCTGAGCCTTTTGTCATACCATGAGTACCCCCTCACTCATACGTGCTGATGATCCTTCACAAGTAGAACGTAACTGATTATTGAATGAAAATAACTTTATTTCATCTCCTTAAATTTGAACATCTAATTCTCAGGCATTTTCTTAATTTTAACTTAAATCACTCAATAAAAATGAATATGTTGCCTTGAAAATAAATAATATAATCAAATAAATACATATGAAATCAAAATAATCAACTTATCTTTGCTATATATATATCTTGTAACATTTAGGCTTAAACCATGGAGCCCCTTTGAATAAGTCCCCTTTAAACAGGCATTTAAACTTTAATTCAGGAACAAAACACTTAGCAAAATAATATCCAGAATCAGTATGGCCTAGCAGTTTCTTTTCACCAGTCATTTACAACTTTTTTTTGGGATGGGGGGGGGGGGGGGGGGGGGGTTAAGCACAGTTAGTATATGTTTATAAAACGGACAAGTCAAATCAAGCAATCTGATGTTTCTTAGCCGTGATATAATGAGCGTAGGCCTATATCCAGGGAATAGTTATTGTTACTTTTCACAAATCAGTATCCCTCCGCGTCTGAGAACCGTTATAAAATCCTAAACTAAACTTTATATAGTAAACTAACTAACTAACTAAGCTTAAGATGGAAACATTTAAGGTTAACTTCGACCTCCGGGGTGGGCTTACTATGGAGGAGTGGATTGAGGAGTGGATTGAGAAGTGCCTATCTCCAGAAAAAAAAGCACCTAAACGACGACATTCGCTATCTGTTATTGTTGTTGCATAGCAACATGTGCAGAAGGCAACGGAGGGACGATTTTATTTTATTCCCGGGCTGATTTTTAGTCCCAGTCCGCCACTGAACGTAGCTATTATGTAAGGTAGTTGTAAATCAAACAAGTGCAGTACATGCTATGTTATAAAGCCGTGGAGGGCGGGAGTTTATAAACCAAAGAGTAACCGCCCTTACGGGACGCTGTAATAAGTAAAGCGAACGCACCCGCAAGGACACCTGGCCTCCTATTGGTTGAGGGATTTTGACAGGATTGTTGCACAAAAGTTTCGAGCGCGCACAGAATAAATCTGAGAGCAGAAAAAATCTGTAAACAGCAATATATCTGAGTGCAAGCGTACAGTTTGAGCAGAAGCAGAGCTAATCTAAGTGCAAGCAGGCACTATTGGAGTGCGAGGACAGGGTTTGAGGGAAATAAATACATAAAGTATGCTCTCAAATTTAAATACCGCGCTCTTGAATAAAGATAGGGAATAACCTCCATAGTTTATGTCCGACGCATCTTTGTAACGCACGAAGGACAGGAGCTGCGCTTCTCCACTCACATCTGTCATTTCATCCAGCTGCAAAGCGAACTGACCGGCTAGTTTTATTTTGTTCACCACTTGTTCAATTATATTAACAGACATATCATTGATCCGACGGGATACGGTGTTATTCGACAGGGAAACTTTCTTGAGTGCTTCGGCTGCTTTCTTGTCTATCATAATTTCGGCCAACGCAGTCGCTGCAGGGAGAATGAGCTCAACAATAGAGTGAGGTTTTTTTGATTTAGCCACAAGCAGGGACACGGCGTAAGATGCCTCGAGTGCTTTCATTGACACATTCGTGGCTTTCATCATTACTGTCTGGCTCGACTTAAATTCCGACAGCTTTCGTCTGTAAAATTATTCACTTTTATCGACACTTCCCGAGTGTTTGGTGCTCTGGTGTCTCTGTAAATGCGCTGGCTTCATCGCACTATTAGCCAGGACTTCACCGCAAAAGAAGCACTGAGGCTGCGGTGGGTCCGCAGAAGTATAAATGAATCCAAATAATATATATGTTTCACTGTACTGCCTTGGTTTCAGTTTGGCCTCTTTCTTACGTTTCTCGGCGGGCTCCTCTGAACTCTGGCCTGAATCCAGAGCAAGCGGACGTTTCAGCCATTTATCCATAGCGCAGACATACCAGTATTTTTCTGGCTGCAGGTAAACAGCTGTTTTCATTGTGGGATTTTGGCGCGGTTGTGCGTGCCACAGACTATTGTCTCCCTAGGGAAACAAATCGCGCACTATCATTTTTGACGGGATTATTATTTGTTTTACTTGTCACCTTGGAATTCCACGTACCCCCTACAGTTCCCTCGCGTACCACTAGGGGTACGCGTACCCCCGGTTGGGAAACACTGGACTACAGTATATTCATATTTGTCAGTGCTTTCATGTCAATTTGGCGAACATAAACATAAATGATCGTGGTGAAGATGATGATTACATTAGGATTAAAAATCGGTAGTGAGAGCTACTGAATTTCCTCCTGTAGGATGTGATATAAAAACAAATCGATTATTTTTGTAGTTGTAAACTCAAGTGGATGAAACTACATTTATTAGTGCTTTCATGTCAATTCGGCGAACATATGATACATTAAATGATCGTGAGGATGATGATTAAAAATCGTTTGTGCCGGTCTGCATTTCCTGATGAGAAAACAAACCGATGCTTTTTGTAGTTGTAGTACACCAACAAGGATTAAACGTGTGTTTTTTTACCACAATGTTGGGGAAATTAATGGATAAAATGCACGGATTATTATTATTCCCACTCCGATCGGGACACTAGGTCCACCGTTTCCCCGCAGCGAGGCCCCCCCCGTTGACAGTTTACGTGGGCTGGGTGCAGTGGCGGACTGGCCATCGGGACGAATCCCGATGGGCTGGTACCGAAGTGGGCCGGTCGGATAAGTCACTAGCACATCATCCCCCACTCCCCCGTTGACAATTTACTAGCGGTACCGAAGTGGGCCGGTCGAGAGTCCCGGGATGATTTTTAGTCCCAGTCCACCACTGGCTACATGACCGTATGATCGCCCATATTGACGCACCTAATTCCTAAACTTCTAACAGATACAACATAAACCGATCCTTCAGCCTCATATGAGCTCTCAGACACGTTTAAAATTAAACTGTCTGAGCTTGCTGCTGTGTGCGCCATCGTGCGTTTACATGCAGATGCTGGGATCCTGAACGGTGCCGCTGGAGCGCTGTGCCCGGAATGACGTCACACATAATTTGGCGGGACTTGAAGAATCCCCGAGAAGATCCAGAAATGGTCAACATTGAAGGGCAGATAAATGGTTATCAAAGTACAAATATCCAAAATCAGTTCAGTAACGGTTTTCAAGGGGACAATATTTACTCAAATTGATGGGTTTGGATGATGGGGGAAACTCGTGTCACAGGCTATTTAAGAAAAAAACAGCCTACATCACAGCTCTATATTGGATTTCATTTATCTTGTTGGCAGCTCATCCCTTAAAAACAGAAGTCTCAATAGTGTATATATACACATATAAACATATATATATATATATTTATTATAATAACATGACATATGAAGGATCTATTTCAAGCTTGTTATGTATGTAAGTTATTAGGCTTCTTTTATCTACTAAAATTTGTTAGAAAATGTAATCAAAATGTTATCAACATGAATACTACTGTGTAATATATTTGTACATAAATATTTAAGAATTACAATATGAGAAAAGCACAAGTTTAATTTGTGGGCCATATTTCATTATACTTTTTGAATTAGCTGAGGGCCGATTCAAAATGGCCAGGGTCATTTGGCCCTCGGGCCGTAGTTTGGCCTGGTTTAAAGTGTTAATTAAGAGTAAAGGGAACATACCTGCTCTGTGTATCCGAAGCTGAGGCTGTAAAGCAGCGTCCAGTAGTTTCTGGAGTCTCTTGTTCTCCTCTTTTGAACGAGACAGCTCCTCCTCGTACTCTGCCATCGTTTTTTCAAACAGAGCAAATATCTCTTCACCAGGAGGAGTGAGTAGCAGCTTCTTCAACGAAAGCAGCATTTGGTCTTTACTCATATCTACTAGATCACCTTTTCCTGCAAACTCCGTTAAACACACTGTTCCTTTCTCTCCATCAAACTCTCAATCTGACTACCAACGTGTTTCCAGCTAGCATGCTAAGCTAGCTCCTATAGTCGGAGGTAAACGCTCCAGAAAAAAGAGCACACAGTCCATTCGGAGGATTCTCCAAACGCACAGATGATGGATCAGTAGTGCTGGAGCTCACACAATGTCTCAGGAACACAGAAAGACAGAGAACCGTAGTGACCTAGCGACGAGACGCCACCCGGGTTCTTCTTCTTCTTCTTCTCTCGGTTTTTCTTCTTCTTCTTCATTGGTGTTTTTTGGCGGTTGGCAAACCAACTTGTAGGTGCATTACCGCCACCAACTGGACTGGAGTGTGGACAAGAGACTGCAGAAAACAATAAACAAAAGAAAGAAAATAACCAAAACTCTGGATTATTTTTTATTTAAAATTGACTATTCTGACGCAACCCCAGAGAAGTGAGAAGTATTATGATATTCCTGCTCCTCTTGCTCCCAGGAAATAAACTTAAAATAAGGAGACCTGTTGTGCCGTAGATTGAAGCCCTGTTCGCGGGGACGCGCAAACGTGACGTCATCGCCTGTATTGAGCGTTCGTCTAGTTTAATAAACTTTTCTCTCTCTTTTGAATGATATATTTCCCATCAGATTAAACAGCAAACGGCTGAATAAATAATGTGCATACAATTGCGAGGAGGCTCGTTTTAAGGACACTTTTCATATAGTCACAATCTTCGTATTGGAACAAACTTCCGTTTTTGAGTGCAGTCCCACTCTGTTATATTCCTCCTTCCTACAGAACAGACAATGACAGGATAATATGTCATTTGTGAGTATAGTCCTATTTCTTAAAACCTTCTCTGTTGTTTAAGTGTCTGATAACCACGAATAGTAAGCAATTATATGACAGTAATGATATAACATATGTCAGACACTGTGTTATTTTCAAGCAAGCCTAAAAGATAATGTGTTCAAACTGGCTTCACTCGCTTTAATTGCTCCTTTGAATGTAATTTTCCTCTGTGGTTTCCTACTCAACACATGTTTGTATTGTAATGCCACTCATATTTTATTTGTTATTGTATTTTAATAAGGTGACATTGAATGCTTTGAAAGGTGCCCTAAAATAAAGTGTATTATTGATCTTATATCTTATATCACACTATTAATGTTCCTTATTTTAGATCTGCACTGTTCTCTATAACATGTTCAGCAGAGCAGGTATTTCTCCTGTCAGATATGGCACCCCCCCTACAACTTTGTCCAGGACAGTCACAACTTCACCACAATCACACTGGTGCTTGCTGTTCCCCTCTAGTTTGTGCTCACACAAGCATTTTACTCTGGGCCCTGCAGGTGAAAAACTAAAGAGGGGCTTCAAAATCCGGCAGATCAGGTATTGGTGCTGCCGGATTTGGAACCCCTCCTATATCTTTCTCCAGGATAGTCACAACTTCACCAAAATCACACTGGTGCTTGCTGTTCCCCTCTAGTTTGTGCTCACAAAAGCATTTCACTCTGGGCCCAGCAAGTCAAAAACTAAAGAGGGGCTTCCATATCCGGCAGTGCAGTTGCTAGAGCTGCCGGATTTTGAAGCGCCCACTATAATTTTGGCCAGGCTAGTCACAATGTCACCAAAATCACACTGGTGTTGCATGTTCCCCTCTTTATGCTCACCAAAGCATTTCACTCTGGGCCCTGCAGGTACAAAAATAAAGAGGGGCTTCCATATCCGGCAGTGCAGTTGTTAGAGCTGCCGGATTTTGAAGCGCCCCCTGTAATTTTGGCCAGCATAGTCACAGACTCACCATAATCACACTGGTGCTTGCTGTTCCCCTCTAGTTTGTGTTCACAAAAGCATTTTATTCTGGGCCCTGCAGGTGAAAAACTAAAGAGGGCTTAAAAATCCGGCAGATCAGGTGTTGGTGCTGCCGAATTTGGAAGCCCCTCTTTAGTTTTGTACCTGCTAGGCCCAGAGTATGTTCTTATTATACATCCATGCTCAATACAGGCGATGACGTCACCTTTGCGCGTCCCCGCGAACAGGGCTTCAATCCACGGCAAGGCTTCAACCTACGGCATAACACCGGCTTTACAAGGTTTCGGTGAGTAATATGAGTGCAATGTGTAACGTTAATGTCAGCTAGCTAACATTAGCTAACAAGGTACACTAACGTGTTTTGTTTTAGCAACTAGTTTTCTCCTTAAGAACTTCGTGGTCTCTGTGTATGCTGTGGATAACATTAGTGTTCACAAGAACAAGGTACACTCCCGTGTTTTGTTTTAGTTGCTCTTCAGATTGAAGCGGCCAGTTTTATATCGACTATACTGTATGTGTGATCTCCTTTTACATCTCGTTGTGTCATTTGAGTTTATTTGCTGTGTGTAGATTCAAGGATTTTGGTTATCTTGTCAATTTGTTTGGTTATCTAGGCACAGCTGTGTGTGACTCCCTCTGGTACACTGGTATGTGTTTTCCTAATGTAGAGAGCATTGATTAATTAATAAACTACACACTGAGTCTAGATCCTGACCAAATGCTTTTTTATTGTTGATCAATTGTTTTTTAAAAATGTATTCATACACATTTAGAAAAATACAATGTACAATCACAACCAATACAACACAAATTACAAAAAATACAGAAAAAACAAACAATAACAACAATCAGACAAGAGGACAAAACTATGGAAAAATAAACCCTCCCACCCCCAGATCCGGACCATCCTTGTATTATTGCTCATTCAATCTATTATAGCATGCTAACAAATGGTACTTACTTTATTTTTACAGATCTGCATGGGAGACGATGGCGCGATGCAGAGCGCTGTCTGTGATTGTGCACGGGGGATGTACAAATGCAGCCACGCTGCAGCATTGGCAATATTTGCCATGTGGCAGATCAGCTCCACAGATGTTGAGTGCCAGTGGAGGAAGCCTGGCACTTAAAAAGTAGTCCAGCCGGTGTCTCAACTTTACCAACAGCGAGAGGAGACATACAACCCACTGGCCAGAGACATCGCCACTGAGGATGTAGACTGGTTCAGGTCTGCACTGAGGGGCGCACAGTGTGGCATGGCATGGCTTTTGTCACCTGAGCCAGAGCCGCGGCCTCAACATCAGGCCATGGTCACAGTCCCGGAGCTGGTGAAGGAGCATGGGGGTCGGGGGCTTGAGTCAATTCTTGCCTCAATGCGACTGAGCAGAGACCAGAAAGCTGCCATCCAGACAGCCACCGTATGACAGCGGACAAATCCTCAGTGGCAGTTACACAGGCGGGGCAGGTTGACAGCCAGCAATTTTGGTGCTGTGCTGCGGTCGGGACTTTCATCCACTCCATGCGCGTCCCTCATGAAGAGGGTGCTTGTGGGGTACAACTTGGACGGAGTCATGGCTGTCAACTGGGGGGTTGTAAACGAGGCCGAAGGGGTGAAGGCTTTTGTGGAGGCCTATCGGGTGACAGTGTTCGAGTCTGGTCTCTTTGTGAGTGAGTCGGGTGTTTTGGGAGCATCACCCGATGGACTTGTGCAGCCATCTGCCCTGCTGGAGGTGAAGTGTCTACACAGCCAGAGGAACATGACCATCGCGGAGGCAGTCCAGTTACCATCCTTCTGTCTCCGTGAGGAGGGTGGGTCATATATTCTCAAGGAGAATCACCCATACTGGCACCAGGTCCAATGGCAGCTGCACATCACAGACCGGAGTCTCTGCTACTTTGTTGTGTGGACCACGAAGGAGGCGATCATCATCCCTATCCCCAAAGACCCTGCATGGCATGGAAATCTCCTCCTCCTGGAACAATTCTACACCCAGCATATGCTCCCTGTGTTGGCCAGTAGAGAGGAGGACATTTAAATAAACATACTCTTAACACCCTCGGACTCTGCGTTGTGTTTCGTATGTGTGATGGGGTGTTATGCAGAGGGGAGGAAAACAGGACACAGCAGATTGGGATTGTGGTGGAGATGCTGAGCAGTTATTTAATTGTTGCATGTAATTATTATTATACTGCGTGCTTCTTAGTTATTCCATCTTTTGCTGTAACTTGGATCTGTATGTAACTCTATATTTACTTGTTATCTACCACATTTCCTTCTACATCATACACCATCATTATACATGATGGTGTATATAGGATATATATATTTGTATACATATCTGTAAATTGTATAATTTAATTTTTCGTATTTGGGATTGTTGGAAATGTCTTTTTGATCTCTCTGTCTATAAACACAAACTGAGTAAGATTGACAATAAAGTTGACTTTGAAAAATATATATATTCTTTATGAAAATAGTTGACTGTTGTCAAATGAATCCAAATGAAACGTTGGACTGAACTACAACCACGCCTTTAAATCTCTACGGACTGTTTTTCAGTGGGATGGCAAGTTCCTATCTTTAAACATTTATTAGTTTTTTCTCATAACAGATTTGATTTTCTGAAGTTAATTTAACTTTGCCGACCATGTAAGGTCATTATTAAAAGGTACAATCAATTTGTTTAGGGTTGACTAAAATAATGAAAAACATTCCTTTGGATAATTTACTGACAGAATAAGAAACTCAATGATGCTCTACTCACCTGTTCCCTTTTTATAAAGTGAAACAGTTGAAACGATAGATTTTAGTAAACTTAAAAACAACCTTCTCCAAAAACTATCAAGGAATATACCGAATACTTGTTTTAGAACTTTATTACATATTTTTATAGAGTTTGAATGATCCATAATTGACAGAAGCTTGTGTTTACACTGACCTGTTACTCATATATTAATGTCTTTGTAACTTCAGTAAACCACTACCTCACTAATTTCTTTCATTCACCACGGTTCAGTAAACTGATACATGAACCAGTTTAATCATTATAATAACGTAGGATTGCAACTAGTGCTGCGTAGTGCTGCGTACCTGGACTCACATTCAGGTTCAGGTCCAGACTCAAGTCCAGAGGTTCAGGTTCAGGTCCGGACTTATAAGTCCGGACCTGAACCCATGGCTTGTGTCAAGTTGTGTGAGTAACTAAAGTGAACTTATTGTGAGCTAATTATCAATTGAAAATTAACTCATAATCAACTCAAATTCAAACTCGTCAGGTTTATTGTGCTCCCTTCCAACTTGTGTCTACATTTCTCTACAAAGTACAAATGTAAAAAAAAACAATGACTTATGACAGTAACTACAGTGAACTACTACAAAGTTAAAACTAAATCCCTAAAACGTTGCTGAAAGGTAGAGTGTAGAGTAGACTATACGCATTACACTGTTACACACCTACTATACAGTATAGGCTACACTGTAGTGACTGTACAGTCAGAGTGTACTGTA